TATATTTTTGGGAGACTAGTGCTTCATTTAACTAAACTGTGGTAATTGAAATTTATGTATATTATGTCTGTGCAAAATAAGAACTGCCTATATGTCATAAAACTAACGATACACGATTATATATTTTTCTTTTAACAGAAAAGGAAAATCTGTGTGTGTGTATTCTTTTGTGTTTATCCCTGCGTTTACTATTTCTTCTTTCCTTCCTGTTTATCTGAGCTAAGACCTTACCCATCCCTCTTAAGTTCTCACAAAAGCACATGACATGTGCGTTTTCTAATTAGATGGTAGATCACCACTCAGATATTTGTCTAACTATTCAACATTAAAAAAAATAGCAGGGGATTAAAAAATAAATAAGTAATTAGATGTCAGTTGTGTTTGGAATTACTCATTTGTATGTTTTTAGTCATTGGTATTCCTCTAACATCTTAGACTTTATGATTGCTGATCTTTTTTTTTTGAGACAGAGTCTCATTTTGTCACTGATAGTAGAATGCTATGGTGTCATAGCTCATAACAACCTCAAACTTTTGGGCTTGAGCAGTCCCCTTCAGTCTCCAAAGTTGCTGGGACTACAGGCACCTGCCACAATGCTGGCTGTCTTTAAAAAGAGATGGAGTCTCACTCTGGCTTGGACTGGTCTTGAACCTGTGAGCTCAGGCAATCTACCCACCTTGACCTCCCAGAGTGCTAGGAGTACAGGCATATGCCCAGCCTTCAATTGCTGATCTTGCTTTATTTTTGTTGTTTCCATTTTGAAGTTAAGATTATTTAAATACTTAATTAACTGAGCATTTTTTGAAGCAACACACATTCTGGAAAAAGTACAAATCCCAAGTATACATATGGTTCAGTAAATTATTCAATGAGTATATTTGTGTGATCAGCACCCAGATCAAAAAACAGAATATGGCTAGTACCTAAAAACTCCATTTCCCTTCCATCTGAGAAGCCCACTTTCCCGGAGGTTCTGCTGTCCTGATATCTGTAACTGTAGGTTATTTGTGTGAGTCTTTAAATGTGTGTCCCTTAATAGATCATCCATTTGCCTTGTTGTGTAATATTCCACGGTATGAATATACCATAATTTACTTATTTGGGTTATTTGCAGTTTAGGGCTGTTGAGAACAACATTGCTATGAAAATTCTTCTCCATGCCTGTCAGCGAGCCTAGGTGCTGTGCTCCCTTCTCTCGACTATATATTCCAGGAGGGAGAATGGTTGGTCTTATGCCTTTGTGGATGCGCTGGCCTTACTGTTAATAACATTGTTGTTCTTTTTCCCTTTTTATTTCAGAGCCCTTCCAGTGTTAGTGGATTCAGATGAGGTAAAATATGTTTTTGCTTATTTTGTTGGAGCCATGTTCACAAGGTGGAGATATATTTTAGAAAGAGACTCTGAAAGTTACTTTTTAAAATGATTATAAATTGAGAGATAGAAGGGCACTGTGAGTTGATTTGTGGGTAAAATTCTCATTTTAAACAAGAACGACATAAATGCTTATTGTTATGTACGAAGGAAGTGATTATTTTGATTTGTTAAAGTCTTGTATTTAAACAAGAGTTGAAAAGGTTTTAAGATGGCAATTTATCTAAGTTAATCTCTAATACTTCTAGATGTTTACTGGAATATTAAGTAAACTTTCTATCTTATTTTCATTTACTAAGCAATAAATTTGAATAGAAGATGTAGATGTAAAAAAATTTTTGAGAAAAAATATTAGTCATAGATTCTGGACATTGAATTGTGGCCCAAGGCAGGAAGAAGTCTGAAGTGTGAGAATTGACGGATGGATGTCTGAAACATAAGCTTATACAAAGGAACAGTAGAGAGAAATTAATGGTACTTAGTAGTAGTCTGTGCTGTGGCCAGAGAGCATGAGAGGAGGAGCCAGAGCTCTGTTCATCAAAAGATCATTTTTAGTGTCAGTGTGTGGATTTGACCGCAGTGGGATGGGAGTGTTTGAGAAGGCCTTGCTACAAAACAGTTAAACTTCCAAATTTATACTCCACAGAAAAACATACCACAGAATTAACTTTGATAGGGACATTTAAGGAATTTATTTAGTAAAAAATCCATTTATAACTTCAGAAATACATTGATTCAGTTAAGTGAGGGAAGTTCTTTGATAAGCTATGCCTCAGAAATCCATTTTAGCTCTGTTCCTGCTTCTGCTGAAGATTCTGAACCTGGAGTGTTTTCTAGCAGGAAGTTGAACTTTTCTGAACTTCTCAGCAAGATAACTAACTGTACATTATTAAAGAGTGCAGATTATGTGGTTTTTATTTTCTATATCTGATGTTTCCTAATGTTTGGGGAATATATTTAATTCCCCCAAATTGTGGCTATTGCAAAGATTAAATTGTGACTGTTGAAAGATTAGAACATTTTTGTTAGATTTCTGGAAGCAGCATCAGCATTTTGATAACCATCTTCTTCTTTTTTGTTCCCCTCAGGAAATCATGACCAGATCCGAAATGGCTGAAAAAATGTTCTCTTCAGAAAAGATAATGTGATTGTAACCCATGTAAATGAAACTAGCTAACCAGGAAGGCCTGTCCTTCATCAAGACTGACACTATGCTCTGATATAGCATAATGTTTTTCTTGGGTTATTTTGGAAATCTGTGTGTTAAACTGAAGGATTCAGCTGATAGGAGATTCTGCAACCCTTTTATAGTGACTCTTGAATGTCAGTTTAATGTCCATTAAATTGCCTGGATTTGAGAATAATCTTGGAAGAGTATTATGATAAAGTTAGCTGCACAAATGCCTCTGGGCTAATTGGTGGCAGGCATGTGGATTTGGGTTCCTTCTCTTTTCTTACATTTTTTTTTTTTTTAATAAACATACCAGCTATTTTTTCTGTGCACCTTTGTGATAGATGATGTGATTCTTCAGAAGCGTAGTATATCAGCGTCTCCGTGTATTGGGGGTACTAGGTGCAGTAATAATTTTCTTTGACTTTTACACTAAAATTATTTGATAATAAGTAAAACTTGGTTAATATTAGAATGTAATTATTTAGATGTAGAATTTTGTCTTTTTTTTTCTTCTGCGCAAAGCCCTTGCTTGTAAGTATTCCCATGCACACTACAAATCATGGAGTTCGGTTTTCTCTGAGCTCAGGGGAATCACAGTGCACAGAGGGAAGTGTTTTAGGTTTTTTTTTTTTTTGAGACAGAGTGTCACTCTCTTACTTAGGCTAAAATGCTATAGTGTCAGCCTAGCTCACAGCAACCTTAAACTCCAGGGTTCAATTGATCCTCCTATCTCAGCCTCCCAAGTAGCAGAGACTACAGGTCCTAGCCACAACATCCAGCTAATTTTTCTGTTTTTTAGTAGAGACAGGATTTTGTTCTTGCTCAGGCTGGTTTTGAACTCTGGAGCTCAAGGGATCCTCCAACCTTTCCTCCCAGAGTGCTAGAATTTTAGGCATGAGTCACTGTGCCTGGCCCAGAGAGAAGTCTTGAGGGTCAATTCGAAAGGTTTGCTCTGCCGTGTCCCCTCACTCAGGCACCACGTGTACATGTTCTGCTGCTGACTCTGCCGGGGCAGGTGATGGGCACCTGGCCACATGGCTTCCTAGAGCATTCCCAACCTGGCGAGCTGGGAGACTCCTTACCAATGATCTTGGGGGAAGTAGAATTATACCTTTTATATAATCTTGGCATGTTGCGTTTCATAATAAAAACATATATTTAACTGCAAGGTATATCACTGATAATCTTGTAATTAATTTCTTAACCTTCAACCATGTTTTATACCTATTTAGTTAGATTATATATTTGTAATGTGTACTTTGAAATCTTTTGTTTTAATGTCTTCTTTAAAAATATGGAATGTTGTACACTTGAAAGGCAATTGAACATAGTATCATGAAAATGTGAATGTTTTGCTGCTTCCATGACCAAAGATATAGGAATGATGGACACGTAGAATAGTAATTAAAGTTAGAATCTTATATGTCTTGTCTTTGAAGGAGTTCTAACTTTACGAACTAAGAATGACTTAAGAGAAATTTGACTAAGAAAACGTTAAAATCTTAATCACGCAAACACTTAAATATAACCTCTAATTTTTCTCACTGTGAAACCACAAAGCAAATTTCCTTCTTTTTCTTTCAGAAGTCTACTTTCTGAATAGGTAGACTCATTACAGGCAGATTAGTACAGAAGATTTATTTTTGGTAGCAATGTCTCTTGAAAGATATTGGCAATTATGTTTTCAGTGACTACGTGGAATGTGAACAGTATTGGCAAACATTACTGAGAAAGGCCTGGTCTTCAGGATGCTATTGCTTTGGGGCATCCTTCCTAGGAAAAGAATATCTAATTTAACAGTTGCAGATTCCATTCCTTATTTCAGTTTCTGCCACGGTAACAAAGCCCACCCACCACATTTCCCAGCACTCACATTCATTCAGGTATTGGTGTGTTCTACCCTTTAGCCCAATTATGTCAAAGCTGGAGGTGACCACTGCTTTTTTTGTTCTTAATATTGCGATCTACCCCATCCCTTTAAGTTCTGAGGCAGATTGGTTATCCAGCTCATCATATGGCTCCGGTTGAATTTTGAAATGCAAAATACTGGGCTCGCAGCCAGTAGGATCTACAAATTTAGTGCGGTGGGAGTGGGGAGTTGATGGTAAGTGTGATAAGGGAAACTGCCTCTGACAGAACCTTGATAGTATTTATAAAAGCATGTCTTTCTGCAACTGGAAAAATAAATGTTGCTATCCACGTAGGTCAGCTGCAAACAGCCATGTAAACTTCTTCCATCCAGAGAAAGCAGGATTCCTTCTTAATAACCTCATCAGAAATATTATTTCTGGAAGGGCATGTACCATGTCTATCACTTTTAGTGATAATTGTGCCATCTGTTGATATCTGATGACCTGAATCAAGTATTCTTACGGAGGGCCTTCTTAGCCCCTCACACACACAGGAGGGGGTGCTCTAGGAAGGACTCTGAGGAGAAGTGAAACCCTGGGGCCAGTGCACAGGTCATCATCCCTGCTTCTGCATGAAGCTTCCTGTAACTGATCATCACGGCCCAGGAGGTGCTAAGATCAGTTTAGTTTTCAGATGTCACTGGGAATGGCTCTCTGTTAATGAGGGGGATCTGAGCATAGGCGTCCAGCTTCTTGTGTTTCTAGGAAAAATGCTTAAGTGTTCTTGTGCAATTCAGGTGAGACTTATGTGATGTGTGAAATTTTTTTAAAAGGGAATTTTCATAATTTGAGTTAGATTCATATTTAAATATCTGCTTTGAATGGTAGTTAATTTCAAAACTAAGAAAAAATAGGTAGAAATGTGAGTTTGAGAGATAATAGAATGTTCCCATGTTTTTTCCTATAAAGAAAATGATCTTTTAGCTTGTTCATATCCTGTAAAAAATACCACCTTTGTCCCCTGTCTTACAGTACAGTGTTTACACTACTATATTGTCAAGACCGAAAGTGTAAAAAATGTACATATAAACTTAACTTATATCTTCTTTTTTTAAAAAAAGAGGTTTGAGTCTATTGCACTAAACTATACATGATTAGTTTAAAGTTGAGCGATGGTTATGCTAGATTTATAATTTATAAATAATTTATAAGTCACTGGTTCCAGTACTGTTGTCTTTCTGTGATCAATAGCATGTGATAAGCAATACAAAACACCAAGCCTTATATTTACAAGAAAGAAGTTTAACATATTGGTTAAAGTTCTGAGCCTATCAAATGTATGTACGTGGCAATACTAGATTTTTAAGGAAATGTACATAGTAATAGTGGAGCTCAATACTACATGAAGAGACTTCTTTAGAACTAGGAAAACATTCATTATTTGGGGAGAAAATTTAGTGGTTTCAGAAATTGTATTTTTCTATTTAAAAACGTTATATTATTCTGTCATTTGGAAGAAGTTGCTTTGAATGTGGGATATAACTATTTGAAGATTTCTGTTTGAAAAATTGTTGTATTTTTGTGCCTTAATATTTGTTCTTTTAATAAAAATGCTTTCTGAAATTTTGGATGATTGACTGTTGATAGTATCTATTAGTGCCCAGTTATGTAGACTCCAGTAGATGACAGGACATAAAATTCTTAAAAGAGGAGCTACAGCTAATCAAACATCGAAAAGTGCTCACCCTCAGCCGTATAAAGAAATGCAAAATAAAAACTAGGGGATATTTTAAAAAAATCAAACTAACCTAAGTTTATACTGTTATATATTTGTAAAATCCTTTGTTTTCAAAGTCTGATGAAATGAGCACACTCGTTAATGATGGCACTGTAATTGATTTAGTCTTTGGGAAAAGTTCCAGAATGTGTTTATAACCTTTGAACAATGTCAAGTCTGGTGATGTTTTTAAAAATGGTTCAAAATGAAAAATAAGCTTTCTGCATAAAAATGTTAATTACTGCATTGTTTAAAGTGAGATAAAATTAAATGTCAACAATATAATAGTTACATGGTTTAATCAGGTACTCAGAGATACTGTACAGCCATTAAATTATTATGAAGAATTTATAATAAGAAAATACTCATCGGCTCGGCACCTGTGGCTCAAGTGGCTAAGGTGCCCGCCACATACACCTAAGGTGGCGGGTTCGAATCCCCAGCCCGGGCCCGCCAAACAACAATGATGGCTGCAACCAAAAAATGGCCAGGTGTTGTGGCGGGCGCCTGTGGTCCCAGCTACTTGGGAGGCAGAGGCAGGAGACTCGCTTGAGCCCAGGAGTTGGAGGTTGCTGTGAGCATGATGCCATGGCACTCTACCCAGGGGGATAGCTTGAGGCTCCGTCTAAAAAAAAAAAAAAGAAAGAAAATACTCATAAGAACTATGCTGCAAAGGTAGATAATGTGGATGCTTAATGTCCAGGCAAGGTGGAGAAAGGACTGAGTGGAAATGCACCGCAGTGCACCGTGGTTAGTGTTGAGACTCAGCCAGGCTGTGTCACAACTTGATTCCAGCCTTTCAGAAGGTTAAGACAAAACAGAATGAATTTCTTGCTCATGTAACAGTTGTGGAGTGGGTGTGGAGGTGGGGAGAGTACCTCTTCTTCATGTGGTCTCTCAGAGAATTAGGAAAACAGAAAGTGGGGAGAGGTTTATTTACATCTTTTGGGCCTACCATCTCCCTAGGGCTTATTATCCTGACCCTGCCAGCAGGAAGGGAAAACACAGCCAAAGAGGTTTGGGGGATAGACCTGGAAGCAACATGCATCTCCTCTGAGCATATTCCATTGGCAGAAACTTACTCCCACAGCCACAGCAGACTGCTAGTAGGGCTGGGAGATGTCAGTAGCCGTGGGCCAGCTGCTTTTCTACTCGTAGTTCTGTGAAAGGAGAGGGCAGGTTTCGGTGGACAACTAGTGCTTCTGCCAGATTAGTTTTGGGCAATGGACTATGGGAAAAATAAAAACCCTCCCTTTCTCTTTTCCTAGTTTTCTAAAGTAAACATATTGAAAAATAAGTATGTAAAAATGATAGCGCTTTAATTAGGTGATATGATGTTAGAAGAAGCTAGAAAAGTGTGGTCTCAGGTCATAGCTTAATCCTTGGATAATTTAAACATTCTATTCTGCTATAGGTGGATGGAACAGGGAGAGTTTTCTTCATAGACATTCTCTAGCCTTCCGGGAGTGAGGAGGACAAAATGGGTAGTCCCAAAGGAAAAGCTGGGGCTATTTAATGAGAGTGGTGACAATTTAGGAAATGTTGGGAGTATTTGCAGAATGCCAGGCTTTGAATCAGTGGGGGAGCTATTATTCCCCTTGGTTTATTGGTAACACACAGAGAGGTTAAATAACTAACCAAAGTTCACCCTTCTGGCAAGTGGTAAGGCTGATATGCTTATTGGTAGGAATCATCTTGAAGGGTTGTCCTCTCAGGAGAGGGCAAGTTTCATTTAACAAAGTCATGTTTACTTTGAGAGTTAAGTAAGATGTATCTAGAGTGCTTAGTGCATGGGGTCAGCCTTCATAAGGCAGCAGAAGATAATGTGAAAGATGAAGCAGGGATTGTCTGAGGTGCTGGTGAGGCTCATCTGAAACAAACTGCGTATGAAATTCAAACATGTTCTGAGCTGGGCTTGATAGCTCATGTCTCTAATGCCAGTGACTAGGGGTGCTGAGGCTCAGGCCACTATCCTCCCCCTGGGCAACAGAGAAGACCTTGTCTAAAATTAAAAAAAAAAAAAACCCAGGAGGGAGGGAGGAAGGAAGGGAGGGAAAGAAAAAAGTAAGAAAATGTAAACACATTGTA